TGCGGAGCTGGAGCCCGCGCGGAGCGCGAGCGGGAGCGGGCGCCGACTGCGGCGGCGCGTGGGGCCGCTCCCGGGCTCGGGCCGACCCACACGGACTCGGCCTGCGCCGGGGAATCAGTGTGGCTCGGGTGGTTTCGGGTAGCCCGAGCGGTACTAGAGGTTCAGCATCCACAGGCCAGGCCACAGGGTGTAGGTCCGTGGTCGCCACCCGGGAGGCGGGCAGCCACCGCACGGTGAGCAAGGATAGCTAGCCTCTGGACGTGGACCACAAGACCTGGGCAGCACGTTCGCAAGCCCCACGTGAGGCTTGCAGACCTCAGATACCCTCGTGGACGAACGGAAGTCGGGAATGCGACACAGCTCGTAGCAGAGTACTACTCAGCCAGGAAAAGGGGGCGAAGTCCTAACATGCCGCCACGAAAGTCACTCTGGAGAGCAGCTTAGAGGTCGGCGCCACACACAGAAGACCACGTGCTACAAAGGTGGATTCACAGGGGCTGGGGCCCTCCGGGTTTCTGTGATGACAGGTACAATCTCGAGTTTACTGAGCAGCCACAGAATGGTGGTTCTGGAGATTGAACCCAGAACTTTCACAGCCCTTGGTCATTGTTTAAAACAGGATCTTGCTAAGTTGCCCAGGCTGGGCTGAAATTTAGGAGCCACCTGCGTCACCCTCCCAGGCTCCTGGTTGCCCAGCTACTGAATTTCATACTTTAAAATGTGAATTTTAGGGGCCGGGAGAGGGCTCAGTGGAATAAGCGCTTCCCTGGCAAGCGCAAGGGCCTGCGTTCAATCTGGTTCCGCCAAAAAAAAAGTAAAATAGGAAAGGCGCCCTTTAGAAGAGCAGCACAGGCCTGAGCAGCAGGGCAGGAGAGGCACCTTGGGGTAAAGGCTGGGGGGACGCAGGGCAGCAGAGGCACAGCCTGCACTAGGCTCCGTGGGCAAGGACTGGAGAGCAGCGAGCACCCTAGGACCCCGCCTCAGCCACCCACCTGCTCCGAGCCCGCCCCGCATGTGTTCCAGGCTCTGCAGCATACCAGTCTCTTGACAAAACACAACAAAAAGGAAAATTGCTAAATAAACATTTATTTAGTAAGAAAATCAGCACTGGGAAGCTGAGGCAGGATCACCGAAGTCCAAGGCCAGCCTGGGCTACCGAGGCCCATGCACAGACGCACTGACGCACCGGTAAGGCAGGGTGTCCTGTGACAGCATGGTCCTGAGGCAGGCAGGCCCAGAACCCTTGGCTCGGGTCAAGAGGTGCCTGCAGTCCTTGGGGGCTCAGTCTGAGTCCTGGTCAGTGCAATCCTCAGGGCTTGGGTCCTGCAGGACAGGAAGACAGAAAGGCTGTAGGACCAGCAGCAGGGTGCTACCACGCACCGTCACCGTTACCAGGCCCTGCCTCGTATCACCTGCACCCTTCTCATTCTAATATAGCGGGCAATCGAGCCAGGCATGGCAGTGCACACCTGTGACCGCTGCTGTGAGTTCAGGGTCGGCCTCAGCTTCACCCCATTGCCAGTGCCTGGAGACACAGCCCCTACCTGGGTGCCTAAGCCCACGGGGGCGGTGCCGGCAGCAAGCGCGGTGGCACTGAAGTCATGGATGGGCAGGGTGCTGAGCCACTGGGCCATGGAGCGCTCGTGCCGTTCAGTGCTGACGATGGTGGGGTAGATGTGCTGCTCCTTGAAGGCCGCCGCCTTGGCCTCTTCCTGCACCCAGTCCAGCGGCTCGTGCAGCCCGTCGCTGCCAAAGCGCTGGTTGTACGTCTCGAAGTGCACTCGCTCCAGCACCAGGCCGAGCCCCGGTGCCTTGGGCACATCCACCTTCTCCTCACCCCAGCTGCGCTCCAGCACGCTCTCAGGGGCGTAGCCCTTCACGATGGCCACCACCAGCCCTACCATCTTACGGATCTGGTGCATCATGAAGCTCTGGCCCTTCACCTTGATCACGGCGAACTCCAGGCCCTCTCGCTCGAAGGGCGGCTCGCAGTACATCTCTAGCACGTAGCGCCGTGCACTGGGCTCCCGGGGTCCCTTCTGCGAGGTGAAGTTGTGGAAGTTGTGGGTGCCCTGGTAGCAGGCCAGCAGCCGGTTCACCTGCTGCAGCGTCTCTGCACTCAGGCGGTACGTCTCATCCTGCACGTCCCGGTCCTTGTGGGCAAAGGCAAAGGTGGGCAGCATGTACAAGTAGGTCCTGGCATCACACCTGTTCTTGGAGTTGAAGCCACCTGTGACCCTCTTCAGCCCTGGGGATGTGAAGAGATGCCAGTAAGCAGAACCAGCAGCAGAGTCCTGACCACGGCGTGGGTGGCAGCACTCACCACCACACCTGGAGCTCAGGCTGGACTTGGGACACCAGCCCCTGCTGGACCTACATGAAACCAGACCTGAGTGGACCCCAGACCCCTGCTGGACATACAGGGCGTGTCAACTGGAGTTGGCCGGCGTGTACAGAAATAAACCCACCTCACACCAGCCCCAAGTGTGGACCAGGCAGCCTTCAAAAGCCACAGGAAGGTGGATGTCCAGAGACCCCAGGGCCATCAGCCAGATGCTGCTCTGCAGACCAGGCCCCACAGATGACAGGGTTTCTTACAGTGAAACCGGGACACAGGCCAGAGCCCCTGAACAGAACCAACCAGACAGTCCCAACACACAGGGGCAGGCAAAGCAGCCAGGAAGGCCAAGGCCCCTGCATGAGGGACACAGACTATGCCACCCGGAGCATATTCAAGCCAGGCGTGTTAGCACATATCACCAGTCTCAGCTACTCAGACGCTAAGTAAGGAGGGAAGCCACCCTGGGCAACTTTAGGAGAGCCTACTTCAAAAAATAAAAAAGGGCTGGGAATATGGCTCACTGGTACAGCACTTGCCTGGCAAAGACCAAGCCCTGAGTCGAATCAGAAGGATCAAGAGAAAAAAAGGCAGAAGGAAGACTTAGATGCAGGCGACTCTGTCCATGGAGTCTGTTCACACAGATTTCCAGAAGAGAAGAACTACAGGACGAAGGTTCAACTCACTGGAGCCCGTGGGGCATTCGTACAGAAGCCCAGCGCCCAGCCCCGCACCACAAAAAATGCACTGATGGTAGGGCTGGGGAGGCGCAGGATGCACAGCGCTCCAAGACAGGCAGGCTGCATCCGGCTCTGCTTCAAGGAGTTGGCACCCCTGGCAGCTTCTCCCTTCCTGGCACCAGCCAAGCCTGGCACACGTTTTTTGTACATATTGTCCTATCTGTGTGGGCAGCTCCACCCTGTGTCCTGTCCTGCATCTAAGATCCAGCATCATAAAAAAAACCCCATAAGGACCCTGGGAGGATCCCTGTGGCTCCAGGCATAATTGCTGTGAAAAGGCTGAGCAGTGCCAGCGGACACCCCTACTGCGGGCTGCAGTGTCGGCCCCGGCCTGCGGAACCGCTTCACCACGTGGGGATGCTGACTGCCGGGGAGCTACGTGCATGGAGACACTGCGCGCACTCCTACCGGGTGGACGCCAACAAGTTCTGAGGGGAGGGGAGGGGAGGGGCCCACGCCAGGAGGAGAAGGCGTGGAGGGTCCGAAAGGACCACCAGCTGGGTGCACACCTGAAGTCCCCACCACTTGGGGAGCTGAGACGGGCCAGAGTTTGAGCCAAGTGTGGACCAAATGGTGAAACCTCATCTCAGAACCAAGAAGAGGCGGGCTGGCCAAATAGCTCAGCGGATTAAAGCACCTGCTTAGGCAGATGAAGGGGCCGGGATCCAGGGCCTGCTATGCTGGCCCTGCCCCAGGGGCAGGCTGAGATGGCAACAGACTAGGTGTGGTGGGGCACGCCTGTAATCCCAGCCCTGGGGAGGCCACTGGAGTCTGATCTATGTAGAGACCCTGTAGACCCTGTCCTAAAATTAAAAAAATTAAAAAAATTAAAAGAACCAAGAAGAGGAAAAAAAGTGGGGTCGGGGAGATGGCTCAGTGGAATAAGCACTTGCCTGGCAAGCGTGAGGGCCTGCATTCAATCCCCGGTTCCACAAAAAAAAGGAAAAAAAGCACCGTGTGACAACTGGGATCTTTGGCCAAAGGCTTTCTGTCCCCATCTGCTTCATGGGGGCTCCTGGAGGACATGGGAGGACCTGCTCTGTTCTACCTCCACGGCCCCAACATCCTACAAGGAGTGGGACACACATGGCGCACAGCTTCCTGTGGCGCTCAGCAGGCTGCAGCTGCCTGCCTGCCCCATGAGGCTCACCCAGGATCCGGATGTGGGATGGAAGGTGGCTATTGATCTTGTCCAGAAGGTCATCAATCAGCCACACCTTCAGGGACACGACCTGGCCAGCTGCAGACACACCCTGTGAAACAGCAGAGCAGGAAAAGGTGGGTCCTGTCCCAGGCACACCAGCCCTGACGCAGGCCCCACTACAGAGCTCTCAGGCACAGAAGAATGTTGGGGCCAAAAGACGCTGGATCGGGACCAGAAGGAATCAGTGTCCCACGCAACTCAGAAGAGAAGGTATGGCCTGCGCAAGGACACTGAGGCAGGAGGGGTAGATTCCCACCATAACACCAGCAATCTTGGGGGTATGAGGGTGAGGGGCCCTTGAGTTGGGTGGGGAGGACATGGGTGCATGCACAGATTGAAAACCCATCGGGCGGGCTGAAGGCCTGGGTCATAGAGAAGCCCTGGGCTTCGTCCCAGTCCTAGGGAATAAAAAGTAACAAAATACCTCCTTTGCTCAACCAGGGCAGGACCCATCCCTCCTACTTAGCCTCAGCGGCTTTTACTCCTCTCTTTTGAATTGCAAAAAAGTAAACCAGAGAACAAAACCATCTCTAAAGGCAGTGGGAACTGCATGAAATGTCTAAAGCAAGGCGCCTCTTTTGAAATGCTGTCTTTGGGGCCCGGGAGGTGGCTCAGTGAAATAAGCGCTTCCCTGGCAAGCTCAATAGCCTGAGTTCAATCCCTGGTTCCGCCAAAAAAAGAAAAAAAAAAAAGAAAGAAAGAAATGCTGTCTTTCTCAGCAAACATTTATACTCTTCTGCCGTGAAAACAGCAGAGCTACAAATGAAAAGGAACAACATGGCCCAGAGGCTGGGTGTGGCAGCACACCCTCATAATCCCAGCACTCGGGAGGCTGTGACAGCAGAACCACTGGAGTTCAGGGCCAGCCTGAAATACACAGTGAAATCCTGTCTCAGAAAGAAAAAGAGGGAGGGAGGGCAGAAGGAAGGACGGAAGGAGGGAGGCAGGAGGGAGAAAAAGGTGGGAGCTACAGCAGTCTGCTCCTTCCTGCGGTGGATGCCACGAGAAGCCACAGCTCCCACCTGTGCCCTCACTGCCTCTTCCAGGCTGGCCTGGCCTATCCTGCAGAGGGCAAGCTAGCAAAGGCCAGTGCTGGCAAACCTGGTCATGCCAGCAGCAAGTGCCTGGTTCCAGCCACACCTGAGACAGTCCTGGACCTCTGGCCAAAGCAGACACCCTGTTCTGGTCAAGTTTGGCTGACTCGTACCTCTGCCCTGTGTTCCCCAAGAGGCCCAACAGATGGACCCTGGGTGGCAGGTGGTCCAGCTCGACAGATGCCTGTGAAGCTAGGGACAGAGGTGCCACCTACCTTGTCTGTGCGGGCGCAGCGCTGGAAAGACATCTTCCTCATGTCCTCACCATGATTCTCAGGGATGCAGCCTGCCCGGACCAGAGCAGACACCAAGTCATCTTCAATTGTCTTGAACTGCGAGGACCCCAGGTTCCTCTGGAGAAAAGACCAGACTGTTTCACTGCCGACCTGAGAGTGGCGAAAACCACCATTCCATTTCTTCTACCAAGCACCCATGCCAGAGTCCAGGGGACATGGGCCATACTAGGCCTGTGTTACACCTCAGCCCAAACCACCTCCCTGCCAGTGTACCCTGTAGGAAACTCCCAGGCAGGCTGGGTTGACGTGCAGGCTTCTCCTGAACCCCCGGCTCACACACCCACTGAGCAGCCTCCCGGGGTGGACAGTACTGGGCGAAGCAGGCCGTCCCCAAATCTCTATGCTGCACCTCTCAGCCTGGCCGACCAGGGACCAAGGGCCCAACCTCAGTGACGGGGACACCCTGCTGACTTTCCCAAGGGGGTAACTGGTGGAGGAGCCCTTCCCATAGTCCAGCTTACAGGCTCCTCTAGCCGGCATCCAGTCCTGAGCTCAGTATACAACTATGAATACTTCTCAGATGCCATTAGGAATATCAGCCCGCTGAGAACTGGTCACCACCCTCTCTTCCCTGACAAGGAACTAAGGCATACAGAAGCTGTTAAGACACACAGTTCTAAGACAGGGCCTACGGCACATGCCTTACATAATCAGGATTATTCTCAAAAAAGCATAAGTTACCCACAGCACATCCCAGGTGGTCTGTTCCACCTATGTGGGAGGCTAAAGGAGACTAAGACATTTTCCAACCTACGGTCACCATTTGCCAGCTGCTAGGAAGTTAGTTTCGTGGCCAGGATTGGTGGCGCACACCTGTGATCCCAGCACTCTGGGAGGCTGGGCATGAGGATCATAAATTGGGGCCCAGCACGGTCAATTTAGTGGAGACGCATAGTAAAGGCCTACAGGTGTAGTTCAGCGTAAAGGGTTTCATCAGTCCTCCGTGCATTTACTTTATATTTTTATTTATTTAGGCTTTTTTAGGGAAGGGTCTACAGAGTGTTCAGGGTCTCACTACTAGATCAGACTCCCAGTGGTCTGTTTACAGCCTCCCAAGAGCTAGGATTACAGGCACGTGCCACCACACCCAGTCTCAACTGCCATCTCAGTGTGCCCCGGGGGCAGGGCTGGCACAGCAGGCCTGGGGATTGAACCCCTGGCCCCTGCACCTGTTTGCAGGCGCTTTAATCCACCCGCTATGTGTCCAGGCCAATATTTACTCTTTATAAGTACAACAAATATGAACCATTTTGTTACTAATAGCATTCATAGGATAAAAGCTGCTTATACACCTAGCCAGGTTACACATTATCCTCCTGAACTGATGTTTCAGTGGGATCCTGTTTATAGCAGGAAACTTCGTCCTGTGGGCCCTGAGGCAGGAGGACCCCCACAAGTTCAAGGCCAGCCTAAGGTATGTATGTAGACCCAGTTTCAATCCTGCCCTCCCTGTAAAACAGAACTTGGCATCAAGTGGTGCTTGGGGGACCAGTAGGAAAAAGGCCTACCGTCTCTTGTGGGCTCTAGTAAGGAAAGAGTTGAATCAAGGGTGCCTGCCATACCTCCACGAAGCTCCCCTACATTCAGGGCACCGCCCCCCAGTGTGTCCTGGGTCCTCACACAAATAAGCCTGGCCAGTGAACCCACACTCCCCTGGTAGCCATGAAGAATCTGGCAGATCTGCTTGCTGGTGACAGGTGCTGGCCCTAGTGTAAACTGCTGGATTATTGTGGTGGTCCTCTGATACGGCTGAAGCCCTTAAAACAGCAGCTTATCCTCGCAGAGACCGCCTCCCCACTGCTTCTCCAGCCCAGCCCAGGGTGCAGTTTCCTTCCACCTTTCCAGCTGCCACAGGGAAGACCCAGTCAGCTCCCAGACATTTCTAAACATCCCCTCCAGCCCCACCCTTAGCAGAAGTCCACAGGCGCCTCGGCTTTCTCTGTCTCAGCCCAGAGGACTACCTGCCCCACCTGCCCTCGATCCTCTCCGGGGCTGTGGCCTTACTAAAGGCGTCTTTCACCTTTCCCATCTCTTTACTGCGCTGCTGAAAAACCTATCCGCTGGCTCAAGGTCACACACTGGACAGCCACCCATGCAGTGCTGACGCCCGTGGGAGACGCTTGGATACAGTGCAAACAAGCCCCCATCTGGCAAAGAACTTCACGAAGGTGGCCTGGACTCGAGCCAGAACCCGGCGAGCTCGGCCGCCGTGACCGTCTGCCCTCCCCTGGGCGGCACCTTCTCGGAGGCCCCCTCTGAAGCTGGATGAGTGGGTGCCGTGCCTCACCTGCATGCCGTGGTAGCCCTTCCCCGAGTAGGCCATGAGCAGCACGATCTTGCGCTTGGGCGGCTTCCGCGGCTGCTCCTCAAGCTCACCGCCGCGGATCCTCTTGGGGGGATTCTGCGCCTCCTCCCAGCCCCGGCCCACACGCGCCTTCTTGTCGGGCGGCTCGGCGGCGGGCGCCTCCTTCCCGGCCATCAGGGACAGGCTGGAGGGACACGGCGAGCACGCGGGCCCGTCAGCTGCGGGCCGGTCCGGAGCCGCCCAAGCCCGCCCCCGGCCTCGCGGGCGCC